GAGTTAACAGTTACCATTGAAGTCGTCTGCATGCTTTTTGGTGAGCTGTTAATTAAATGATACGTTGATTTTGCGTTTTCCTGTAAATCTAAATCGAGTGTGGCCAATTTATGGATAGTAGTTCCAATCGGACTATTCTCTTTCACATAGACATTGATAAAAGAGTCCAGGAATTGAGGGGGGTTGTCATTTACATCTGAAACTTGAATCGTAATTACGCTTGTGCTCGACAGAGAAGGCGTTCCTTCATCTGTGGCTGCAACTGATATATTATATTGGGAAACACTCTCTCTGTCGAGAGGCCCGTCAACTAACAACGAATAGTAGTTTTTATAGTTTGATTTTAACTTAAATGGCGCAGAACCTGTTATCTTACAGTTTGTCACGCCGTTTTTGCCTCCGTCTTTATCGGTGATCGTCACCATAGCGACAGCTGTGCCTATTTCAGCATCCTCTTTCACTGGACTCATGAGTGATGACACCGAGATCTCCGGAGCGTTGTCATTCACATCAATGACTTCGACTAAAACCTTGCTGTGTGCACTGCGAGGAGGAGTGCCTTTGTCTCGTGCTTGAACACGAATCTCATATGCTTGATTTTGCTCGTAATCAATATTTGCCTTTACGGTAATTTCTCCAGTATTATCATCTAGGGAAAATTTGTCATCAGGGTTTAATCGCCCCTTTTCTGTAAACGAATATATTATCTGACCATTAACACCGTCATCTAAATCGGTTGCAGTGAGCGTTAATAACGTTGTGCCAACATTTGCATTTTCTACCACTTGGACCTTGTAGAGAGATTTACTGAACACGGGTGGATTGTCATTTACATCCAGAACATTCACGTTTATCTGTAATGTCCCCGTTTTGGGAGGCTTTCCTCCGTCTATCGCAGTCAGAGTGAGTTCAATAAGAGCCTGTTTTTCTCGATCTAATGCTTTCTGCAGCACTAATTCAGCAGACACACTCTGGTCACCATTGCTCTGTATATCCAAAGAGAAATAATCATTTGGATTTAATTTGTAAGTCTTGACCGAGTTTGCATCGACGTCTGCATCATGAGCTATCGGTAGTGGATATCTTTCCCCGGCATAAGAAGACTCATACATATCAATTGTACACATTTCTTCCTGAAAAGACGGGGCATTGTCATTAATATCATTTATGACAACTTCAATTCGATGTAGGCTGCGAGGGTTGCTCAGTATGGCCTCTATATTTAAAGAGCACTTTACCGTGTCAGGACAAAGCTCCTCCCGATCTATCCTCTCGTTAACAAAAAGTACTCCAGATTCATGGTTTATGTCAAAATACCGTTGTTTATACACGGACGTAATCTGAAGACCCGCGGATTGGAGCTGCTGAACATTCAGATTTAAATCCTTAGCGAGGTTTCCCACCGCTGTGCCTTTGTCCACCTCTTCTGAAACGGAATAGGATATCTGAGCCACGGACCATTCGCAGAGACAAAGAAGAGCGAAAAACAGACGTCCAGTATTATCCCATTGTCTCCGAGCAGCCATAGCTGTTCAGGCGAAAGTGACGAATCCCAGGCTTTTGCCACTTGGCCTATTCACAAAAAATTAAGAAATAAATATACAATTTCATGTATCCATTCTCGCAGAGGATCCGCACTATTTCGGGCCTCACTCGTCAGTGCGCTGTTTTCACAAAGACAGACGATGACGTTTTAGTTTTGTCATGACTTGAGGAGGAGTTTCCAACCACCGATCACTTGATTATTGCATGGTCTCTAGCGACATCTTGTGACACTTTTGTAGTAGGAAAGACGGCCCAAAACAGAAGTGGAGAGGTTTATTATGAGGTGCAAAAGAAACACATCTGTGCTTAATGTTCTACTAGTTGAGGGGGGGATTTTTAAAGACCCTTGCTCCGTGGATATATTATTTAAAGTACAATCAGACTGTGTGATTAGAAAGTTAAATCATCTCGTTTTGTTATTATTAAATAGAATAACAATATATTTCGTAATTTTACACTGCCTTTTAATTATGTTCCTGAACATTCAAACGTTATAACCTGCAAAATCTGCGCTTCACAGTAGCAGGACCACGGACAGCACTCGACCATCAACACAGACAGCAGACTAGGGACCATTTTTTTTCAGAACCATGGACAGCGGCCCTCTGCAGTTTGAATTCATAGTGCCATTGCTCAAGCCTACACAATATTGTATCTACATCACCATAAGCCTCAGTTAAGGAGTTTAAACTTTTTTGTCCTGATTTTTTTTTAAAAAACCAAGCAAAAATAAAAATAAGACAATTACTCAACACATTCAGTACTCACACTCGCTCAATAAACCACATGCCAACTTTGTAGTATGGTAAAAAGTGCCATCATGTGCAATCAAACTTTATGTGACAGAAAGGCAATAGATAAGTGTCTGGGTTATGACCTCCTACTTGCAGCTCTTAACTGTTATTGTAGGCAAAGTTGTAAAGAATTTGCAATAAATATGAATAGTTAGAATTCAGAGCTAACATATAAATTGAACGATCAGGGGCATGGCTATAAGTACGGTACTTCAAAATGTTCATTTATGATGAAATCTACTCACATTATGTTAACACAAAGAATAAAAATCCATTTTTTTAAACTTATAAAACTGAGTATGTCTTACCTTGTCTTTATTAGGTAAAGTCTGAGTTCTGGTAAAAGTGTCTCCTCCATTAATACTGATCAGTTCACCATCTACAGGTGGAAA